AGAAAATACACAGCCTGACTCAACAAATACAAGTCCTCAGAGTCAGGGCGTGACATTGAGACTAGTTGAGTATCTGGAGCATCAGCAATTGTGGGTTCGATTACAGGCTCAAAATGGCCAGAAACAAATAACTTTCTTCTGAAACTTGTCAGTCTATTCTTGTTCTGAGAAATGAAGGCTATTCCATGCGAGAAATTGCCAAGAAACTGAAGATCTCGTACAACGCTGTGTACTACTCCCTTCACAGAACAGCGCAAACTGGCTCTAACCAGAATAGAAAGAGGAGTGGGAGGCCCCGGTGCACAACTGAGCAAGAGGACAAATACATTAGAGTGTCTAGTTTGAGAAACAGACGCCTCACAGGTCCTCAACTGGCAGCTTCATTAAATAGTACCCGCAAAACACCCGCAACAGTGAAGAGGCATATCTCAGACTGGCCAATAAAAAGAAAAGATGGGCAAAAGAACACAGACACTGGACAGAGGAAGATTGGAAAAAAGTGTTTGAGGTGTTCGGATCATAAAGAATAACATTTGTGAGACGCAGACCAAATGAAAAGATGCTGGAGGAGTGCTTGATGCCATCTGTCAAGCATGGTGGAGGCAATGTGATGGTCTGGGGGTGCTTTGGTGGTGGTAAAGTGGGAGATTTGTACAGGGTAAAAGGGATCTTGAAGAAGGAAGGCTATCACTCCATTTTGCAACGCCATGCCATACCCTGTGGACGGCACTTGATTGGAGCCAATTTCCTCCTACAACAGGACAATGACCCAAAGCACAGCTCCAAACTATGCAATAACTATTTAGGGAAGAAGCAGTCAGCTGGTACTCTGTTTATAATGAAGTGGCCAGCACAGTCACCGGATCTCAACCCTATTGAGTTGTTGTGGGAGCAGCTTGACCGTATGGTACGTAAGAAGTGCCCATCAAGCCAATCCAACTTGTGGGAGGTGCTTCAGGAAGCATGGGGTGAAATGTCTTCAGATTACTTCAACAAATTGACAACTAGAATGCCAATGGTCTGCAAGGCTGTAATTGCTGCAAATGGAGGATTCTTTGACGAAAGCAAAGTTTGAAGGACACAATTATTATTTCTATTAAAAATCATTATTTCTAACCTTGTCAATGACTACATTTCCTTTGCATTTTGCTATATTTCCTATTCAAACTAATTTCATGTATGTTTTCATGGAAAACAAGGAAATTTCTAAGTGACCCCAAACTTTTGAACGGTAGTGTATGTGTGAGGGAGGCAGTGTAAATATGTGTAAGGTGTGACCAAGAGTTATAAATTGTTTATGGATTGGTCTCAGACTCTGGAGCATAATATTCATGTGAGTGTATGCAAGCAAGAAATAGAGTACATTTATCTGAGTTGGTTGAATAGAAAGAGAAAGTGTGCGTGTGTGTGTGTGTGTGTGTGTGTGTGTGTGTGTGTGTGTGTGTGTGTGTGTGTGTGTGTGTGTGTGTTGTGAGGAAGAGAGCAGAACATGTGTCTATGTTGGCAGGCGTCATTAGACCACAGGAGTGTGAAGGAGGAAAATGAGGTCCTGATGTTCAGGATGATGATCTGAATACAAATTAAGCCTTGTGTCACACACACACACACACACACACACACACACAGACACATACACCCACAGCACACAAACTGTCTCCTTCAGTCAACACCTAAAAACTACAAGCAACACCAAATGTTGCTCAACAGTTTTTCTTGTGAGTGGGGAGATGTGCTTTGTATTTTCTTACAACATCTTCTGTGTTTTTCCATCTGAGGGCGTAACTCATAAGACAGGGGTCAAATGTCAGCATGTGATTTACCCGCTCCTCTGCTGGAACCAAGTCACTGAGGACAGCAAATAAATCCTGAAGAACTTTCAAATGATTAAAACCCTCCAGCTGTGTTTGACCATTGTTTTTCCACTGGTCCCCAGTGGTTACATTGAGCTGGGCTTCTGGACCTTGGGTCAAAGGTAGAGGCAGGCGGAGCCAACATCCAGTATCTTATGGGTCCAAAGAGAAAAGTAGGATAAAAGTACTATAGGCCAAAGTTACGGTTAGACCAAGATTAGGGTTAGGGTTGTAGTTGAGGGTAGGGTTCAATAATGTATATAAACACTGGATTACTGATGCTATGTTTTTGCTAATGAGAGGCTTTGAAGCCACCGGTCGGCCATATTGGCACTTCCCAGAAGAAGCAGTCCTCTGTATGAATGAATGGAATTCTACAGTGTTTGAATGAAAGGTTTCAAGGACAAAATTACATGTATTTAAGTATTTTTGTTGTTGTAGTGTGGACAGTAACATTATAATGTTCTAAAAAAGTATACTTTAAGGATTAAAAAAAACAAAGGTATGCATTAAGGTGTCTGTAATAGAATAAACGTGGCAAAAACAAATGTACACATTAATACATTCATTTCTATAGGTTCCAAACAATGTTTTACAATGGTCATCTAGTGTATATATACAGTTGAAGTCAGAAGTTCACATACACTTAGGTTGGAGTCATTAAAACTCGTTTTTCAACCACTCCACAAATTTCTTGTTAACAAACTATAGTTTTGGCAAGTCGGTTAGGACATCTACTTTGTGCATGACACAAGTCATTTTTCCAACAATTGTTTACAGACAGATTATTTCACTTATAATTCACTGTATCACAATTCCAGTGGGTCAAAAGTTTACATACACTAAGTTGACTGTGCCTTTAAACAGCTTGGAAAATTCCAGATAATGATGTCATGGCTTTCGAAGCTTCTGATAGGTTAATTGACATCATTTGAGTCAATTGGAGGTGTACCTGTGGATGTATTTCAAGGCCTACCTTCAAACTCAGTGCCTCTTTGCTTGACATCATGGGAAAATCAAAAGAAATCAGCCAAGACCTCAGAAAAAAATAGTAGACCTCCACAAGTCTGGTTCATCCTTGGGAGCAATTTCCAAACGCCTGAAGGTACCACGTTCATCTGTACAAACAATAGTACGCAACTATAAACACGATGGGACCACGCAGCCGTCATACCGCTCAGGAAGGAGACGTGTTCTGTCTCCTAGAGATAACCTGAAAGGCCATTCAGCAAGGAAGAAGCCACTGCTCCAAAACCGCCATTAAAAAGCCAGACTACGGTTTGCAACTGCACATGGGGACAAAGATCATACATTTTGGAGAAATGTCCTCTGGTCTGATGAAACAAAAATAGAACTGTTTGGCCATAATGACCATCGTTATGTTTGGAGGAAAAAGGGGGTTGCTTGCAAGCCGAAGAACACCATCCCAACCGTGAAGCACGGGGGTGGCAGCATCATGCTGTGGGGGTGCTTTGCTGTAGGAGGGACTGGTGCACTTCACAAAATAGATGGCATCATGAGGAAGGAAAATTATGTGTATATATTGAAGCAACATCTCAAGACATCAGTCAGGAAGTTAAAGCTTGGTCGCAAATGGGTCTTCCAAATGGACAATGACCCCAAGCATACTTCCAAGGTTGTGGCAAAATGGCTTAAGGACAACAAAGTCAAGGTATTGGAGTGGCCATCACAAAGCCCTGACCTCAATCTATAGAAAATGTGTGGGCAGAACTGAAAAAGCGTGTGCGAGCAAGGAGGCCTACAAACCTGACTCAGTTACACCAGCTCTGTCAGGAGGAATTGGCCAAAATTCACCCAACTCATTGTGGGAAGCTTGTGGAAGGCTACCCGACACGTTTGACCCAAGTTAAAAAATGTAAAGGCAATGCTACCAAATAATAATTGAAATACTTCTGACCCACTGGGAATGTGATGAAAGAAATAAAAGCTGTAATAAATCATTCTCTCTACTATTATTCTGACATTTCACATTCTTAAAATAAAGTGGTGATCCTAACTGACCTAAAACAGGGAATTTTTACTAGGATTACATGTCAGGAATTGTGAAAAACTGAGTTTAAATGTATTTGGCTAAGATGTATGTAAACTTCCGACTTCAACTGTAGATCATTGGTAGAGCTGGGGTGTGGACATGAAGCTTGTGTTCGGGTTGTGGTTGAGGCTTGGGTTAGGGTTGAACCAGGATGTGAACAGGAAGCTAGGTTTAGGGTGAGCCGGTGAGGGTAAGAGTTGAGCTAGGTGTTGAACATAAGGCTCAGCCCTTACCCCTACCCAAACCCTAGGTTCATGTACACATCTGGTTCAACCCCAACCTTAACCACAACACTTACCCTAACCTCATGTCCACATCCTGGTTGAAACCTAACCTTAACTCTAACCCTAACCTAGGCGAATAAAATAACGGTTGACTCTTCCCATCCACTCCACTCCGAATTCCAGCTCCTACCCTCTGGCTGCAGGTACAGACTACAGAAGGTTTAAAAAAATGTTTTGATTCTTAATGCAATTCTGCAACTTAACAAAATGTTGGACTAATTGAACTTAGCACTGGTACTATGAAACTGCACTTACCCTTCCTATTTGCTTGTAAATATCCTTTGCTATTTATTTTTAATTTCTATATGTGATATGTTTTATGACTGCTGCAAAATGAATTGCCTCTCTGAGGACATTAAAGTTTTCTGAATCTGAATCTGAATGTCCACATCCCTGTTCCAATCCTAACCTCAACTACAACCATTGCTCAAGGGTCGCTGTCAATAATGGCTGATCCATGGCTCTGACCCCACTCTCTGAGGTTGTCACAGGGGTAGTGGGATATGCTAAAAACGAATTTCCGATTCACACATACAGTTGTACGTGTGAAATATGACAAATGTAAGCACCCACCTAATGATCTTATTATTCCCGGTTCAAACCTAACTGTAACTCTAACCCTAAACCTAGCCTAGGTTTGATAATCAATTCTAAAGTGTGGACAGGCTGTGGTGTGGTATGTCTGTGGGTCCAGCTACCTGTGAGGGGCATAGCCTTACTCAGTGGTCAGGGGCCATGGCACGAGCTGTGAGATGTATATGCGTGTCTCTTGCTTCCCCATGTGGTCGAATTAATAAACGCACAACAGAAAAAATGGCGACCTCCGTGTGTGTACTGTGTCAATGATAAACTAACGTTTGCACATATTTTTGTGCAAGGACACGGATAGTCAAACGATAAGAATTATATGGAGGGAAATGCGAACTTGTTATCCATCTTGAACGACAACAGAGTTGCGTGAAAACGTGAGTTTTGCCCCAGAATACTTTCAAATTATCTTTCTAGCATAGCTAGCTAACTTAGCTTTGAAATCAACTGACAGCCACACGGACAGTTGCATGCTCTGTCCAGAATAATGTTACTAGCTAGCTGGTCTATCAAAGATTTGTATAACTAAACCATTGTTCTATCTGTGGGTCTATGGCCCAGCCGTGTTGTTGTTTTGACAAGGCCAAGGGTGTATTCATTAGGCCAGTTCTGTTGCAAAAAACAGAAACCGTTTACTCCAAACGCTTTTGAGTTCTGTTCCATTCTGTTCTTAAACGGAAGTTGTGACAAAGGTTTTGTTGTTTTGGCTCTGCACTTTGGATTTGAAATAATACAGTGACTATGAGATTAAAGTGCAGACTGTCAGCTTTAACGTGAGGGTATTGTGTCATTTTGGAGTCACTTTTAATGTAAATAAGAATATAATATGTTTCTAAACACTTCTACATTAATGTGGATGCTACCATGATTACGGATAATCCTAAATTAATTGTGAATAATGATGAGTGAGAAAGTTAGAGGCATAAATATCACTACTTTAATACACATATAAGTGAATTTGTCCCGATACTTTTGGTCCCCTTAAATTGGGGGACTATGTACAAAAAGTGCTGTTCACCCGATATTGGTGAAAATATCCTCAAATTAAAGCTGACAGTCTGCACTTTAACCTCATAGTCATTGTATCATTTACAATCCAAAGTGCTGGAGTACAGAGCCAAAACAACAAAAAATGTGCCACTGTCCCAATACTTTTGGAGCTCACTGTATATACTACTATCCCCAACACACACCCACCACCCCTTCCCGCTAATTTGGCCCTAACAGATCCTACACCCGGTTGTCAGCCTGGGAGGCTGAAAACACTTATCTTCTGCACTAAAATCTCTCTTCTCCACTTCTCTCTGAAAACACTTCTCTTCTGCACTAAAATCTCTGACTCCCAAAAATGTATCTGCTGCTACTAGAAAATGACATCTTCTTGGATTTCCTTTCCATCTGAGCGGCACAATTCATGACCATAGCAATAAACGCCAAGATGACAACCTTACTAAAGCACAAGCTGTTTGGGGTACTCTGTACAGGCCTACTACTCACAGGGATCCTCTCAGGCTTCCTCACCCTTTTCCCACCATCCTCTACTTTCCTCACTGCCTCAGCATGACACTTTCTGCACTGCTCTCACCCTGGAAACGTCAACCTGTCTCACTCGCAAAGGACATTTCTGATCCCCAGCAACATGGCCACTCTCACAATTGAAACACTCCACTTTTTCTATCGAAAACTACACACTCCTTTGTCCCATGTCCTCCTACACACTTCTCACACCTCAGAATCTCCGTCCTACGTACTGCTGCAACATGACCATAAACTTGTCACCTGAAACACCGTAGTGGGTTTGGAAATAAAGCTCTTACGGGATAACATACAGTGCCTTCGGAAAGTATTCAGAGCCCTTGACTTTTTCCACATTTTGTTACATTACAGCCTTATTCTAAAATGGATTAAATAAATCTAAATCCTCAGCAATCTACACACAATACCCCATAATGACAAAGTGAAAACAGGTTTTTAGAAATACCTTATTTACATAAGTATTCAGACCCTTTGCTATGAGACTTGGAATTGAGCTCAGGCGCATCCTATTTCCATTGGTCATCCTTGATATGTTTATACAACTTGATTGGAGTCCACCTGTGGTAAATTCAATTGATTGGACATTATTTGGAAAGGCACACACCTGTCTATATAAGGTCCCACAGTTGACAGTGCGTCAGAGCAAAAACCAAGCAATGAGGTCGAAGGAATTGTCCGTAGAGCTCCGAGACAGGATTGTGTCGATGCACAGATCTGGGGAAGGGTACCAAAAAATGTCTGCATCATTGAAGGTCCCCAAGAACACAGTGGCCTCCATCATTCTTAAATGGAAGAGGTTTGGAACCACCAAGACTCTCCCTAGAGCTGGCCGCCCGGCCAAACTGAGCAATCGGGGGAGAAGGGCCTGGGTCAGGTAGGTGACCAAGAACCCGATGGTCACTCTGACAGAACTCTAGAGTTCCACTGTGGAGATGGGAGAACCTTCCAGAAGGACAACCATCTCTGCAGCACTCCACCAATCAGGCCTTTATGGTAGAGTGGCCTGACGGAAGCCACTCTTCAGTAAAAGGCACATCCCAGTCCGCTTGGAGTTTGCCAAAAGGCACCTAAAGACTCTGACCATGAGAAACAAGATTATCTGGTCTGATGAAACCAAGATTGAACTCTTTGGCCTGAATGCCAAGCGTCACGTCTGGAGGAAACCTGGCACCAACCCTACGGTGATGTATGGTGGTGGCAGCATCATGCGGTGGGGATGTTTTTCAGCGACAGGGAGACTAGTCAGGATCGAGGCAAAGATGAACGGAGCAAAGTACAGAGAGATCCTTGATGAAAACCTGCTCCAGAGCGCTCAGGACCTCAGACTGGGGCGAAGGTTCACCTTCCAACAGGACAACGACCCTAAGCACACAGCCAAGACAACGCAGGAGTGGCTTCGGAACAAGTCTCTGAATGTCCTTGAGTGGCCCAGCCAGAGCCCGGACTTGAACCCGATCGAACATCTACAGAGAGACCTGAAAATAGCTGTGCAGCAACGCTCCCCATCCAACCAGACAGAGCTTGAGAGGATCTGCAGAGAAGAATGGGAGAAACTCCCCAAATACAGGTGTGCCAAGTTTGTAGTGTCATACCCCAAGAAGACTCAAGGCTGTAATCGCTTGCCAAAGGTTACTTCACAAATTCTGAGTAAAGGGTTCTAAATACTTATGTAAATGTGGATCTTCAAGTTTTTATTTTTGTATAAATTAGCAAACATTTCTAAAAAACGGTTTTTGCTTTGTCATTTTGGGGTATTGTGTGTAGATTGATGAGGAAAAACCAAACTATTTAGTAAATTGAAAAAAAGGCTGTAACCTAACAAAATGTGGAAAAGTCACGAGGTTCTGAATACTTTCCTTCATTAAAGACCAAAATTGGTTAAGGAAAATGTTCCTGAATAAAAAAGTTTACCAGTTTAATTTAAGGACCAAAATATTGACAGCTGTGCCATATACAATGTATTCGGAAAGTATTCAGACCCGTTGACTTTTTCCACATTTTGTTACGTTACAGCCTTATTCTAAAATTGATTAAATAGTTTTTTACCCCATAATGACAAAGCAGAAACATTTTTTAGAAATCTTTGCCTTTTAAACACTGAAATATTACATTTATATAAGTATTTAGACCCTTTACTCAGTACTTTGTTGAAGCACCTTTGGCAGCGATTACAGCCTTGAGTCTTCTTGGGTATGACGCTACTGTCACGACTTCCGCCGAGGCTGCCTCCCCTCCTTGTTGGGGCAGGTTTCGGCATTCGTCGTCACCAGCTTACTAGCCACTGCCACTCCATATATCATCATTCCATTTGTCTTGTCTTGTCAATTACACACACCTGGTTCATATCCCCTCATTAGTCCGTGTATAAGTGTTCCCCTTGTCCTTGTGGGTGATTGTTTTATGTGAAGATGAGTGTAGCTTGGTTGAGCTACCGTACTTTGTATTGCCGGGGTTATTTCTCCCCATGTGCCTGTATTGTGTTCCAGTGCGCCTGTATTACACCCTGTGCTGTTGACGCTATCCAGCGTAACTGTGTCCTATGGAATAAACTCTGTATTCGGTGATTTACCCTCCTACGCCTGACTCCTTCAAATCACATTCTCACAGCTACAAGCTTGGCACACCTGTATTTGGGGAGTTTCTCCCATTCTTCTCTGCAGATCGCACTGAGCTAAAGGGTAGAGCTGCCGCTTTCAAGGAACGGGACTCTAACCCGGACGCTTATAAGAAATCCCGCTATGACCTCCGACGAACCATCAAACAGGCAAAGAGTCAATACAGGTCTAAGATTGAATCATACTACACTGGCTCTGACGCTCGTCGGATGTGGCAGGGCTTGAAAACTATTACAGACTACAAAGGGAAGCACAGCCGCGAGCTGCCCAGTGACACAAGCCTACCAGACGAGCTAAACCACTTCTATGCTCGCTTCGAGGCAAGCAACACTGAAGCATGCATGAGAGCACCAGCTGTTCCGGATGACAATGTGATCACGCTCTCCGTAGCCGATGTGAGTAAGACTTTTAAGCAGGTCAACATTCACAAGGCCGCAGGGCCAGACGAATTACCAGGACGTGTACTCCGAGCATGTGCTGACCAACTGGCAAGTGTCTTCACTGACATTTTCAACATGTCCCTGACTGAGTCTGTAATACCAACATGTTTCAAGCAGACCACCATAGTCCCCGTGCCCAAGAACTCTAAGATAACCTGCCTAAATGACTACCGACCCGTAGCACTGACGTCTGTAGCCATGAAGTGCTTTGAAAGACTGGTCATGGCTCACATCAACAGCATAATCCCAGAAACCCTAGACCCACTCCAATTTGCATACCGCCCCAACAGATCCACAGATGATGCAATCTCTATCGCACTCCACACTGCCCTTTCCCACCTGGACAAGAGGAACACCTACGTGAGAATGCTATTCATTGACTACAGCTCAGCATTCAACACCATAGTGCCCTCTAAGCTCATCACTAAGCTAAGGATCCTGGGACTAAACACCTCCCTCTGCAACTGGATCCTGGACTTCCTGACGGGCCGCCCCCAGGTGGTAAGGGTAGGTAACAACACATCTGCCACACTGATCCTCAACACGGGGGCCCCTCAGGGGTGCGTGCTCAGTCCCCTCCTGTACTCTCTGTTCACCCATGACTGCATGGCCAGGCACGACTCCAACACCATCATTAAGTTTGCCGACGACACAACAGTGGTAGGCCTGATCACCGACAACGATGAGACAGCCTATAGGGAGGAGGTCAGAGATCTGGCCGTGTGGTGCCAGGACAACAACCTCTCCCTCAACGTGACCAAGACAAAGGAGATGATTGTGGACTACAGGAAAAAAAAGAGGACTGAGCACGCCCCCATTCTCATCGACGGGGCTGTAGTGGAACAGGTTGAGAGCTTCAAGTTCCTTGGTGTCCACATCACCAACGAACTATCATGGTCCAAACACACCAAGACAGTCGTGAAGAGGGCACGACAAAGCCTATTCCCCCTCAGGAGACTAAAAAGATTTGGCATGGGTCCTCAGATCCTCAAAAAATTCTACAGCTGCACCATCGAGAGCATCCTGACTGGTTGCATCACCGCCTGGTATGGCAACTGCTTGGCCTCTGACCGCAAGACACTACAGAGGGTAGTGCGTACGGCCCAGTACATCACTGGGGCAAAGCTTCCTGCCATCCAGGACCTCTATACCAGGCGGTGTCAGAGGAAGGCCCTCAAAATTGTCAAAGACTCCAGCCACCCTAGTCATAGACTGTTCTCTCTGCTACCGCACGGCAAGCGGTACCGGAGTGCCAAGTCTAGGTCCAAAAGACTTCTCAACAGCTTCTACCCCCAAGCCATAAGACTCCTGAACAGCTAATCATGGCTACCCGGACTATTTGCACTGCCCCCCCCACCCCATCCTTTTTACGCTGCTGCTACTCTGTTAAGTATTTATGCATAGTCACTTTAACTCTACCCACATGTACATATTACCTCAACTACCTCAACTAGCCGGTGCCCCCGCACATTGACTCTGCAACGGTACCCCCCTGTATATATAGCCTCCCTACTGTCACTTTATTTTACTTCTGCTCTTTTTTTCTCAACACTTTTTTTGTTGTTGTTTTATTCTTACTTTTTTTGTTTAAAATAAATGCACTGTTGGTTAAGGGCTGTAAGTAAGCATTTCACTGTAATGTCTGCACCTGTTGTATTCGGCGCATGTGACCAATACAATTTGATTTGATTTGATTTGAGATCCTCTCAAGCTCTTTCAGGTTGGATGGGGAGTGTCGCTCCACAGCTATTTTCTGGAGTCTCCAAAGATGTTCAATTGGGTTCAAGTCCGGCCTCTGGCTGGGTCACTCAAGGATTTTCAGAGACTTGTCCCGAAGCCACTCCTGCGTTGTCTTGGCTGTGTGCTTAGGGTCGTTGTCCTGTTGGAAGGTGAACCTTCGCCCCAGTCTGTGGTCCTGAGCGCTCTGTAGCAGGTTTTCATCAAGGATCTCTCTATAATTTGCTCCGTTCATCTTTCCATCGATCATGACTAGTCTCCCAGTCCCTGCCGCTGAAAAACATCTCCACAGCATGATGCTGTCACCCCCATGCTTCACCGTAGGGATAGTGGCAGGTTTCCTCCAGACGTGACGATTGGCATTCAGGCCAAAGAGTTCAATCTTGGTTTCATCAGACCAGAGAATCTTGTTTCTTTTGTTCTGGGAGTCCTTTAGGTGCCTTTTGGCAAACTCCAAGCGGGCTGTCATGTGCCTTTTACTGAGGAGTGGCTTCCGTCTGGCCACTCTACCATAAAGGCCTGATTGGTGGAGTACTGCAGAGATGGTTGTGCTTCTGGAAGGTTCTAAGTCATGTCCAATCAATTGCATTTACCACAGGTGGACTCCAGTCAAGTTGTAGAAACATCTCAAGGATGATCAATGGAAAGAGGATGCACCTGAGCTCAATTTCGAGTCTCATAGCAAAGGGTCTGAATACTTATGTAAATAAGATATTTCTGTTTTCTATTTTTAATACATTTGCAAAAAAATCTAAAAACCTGTTTTTGCTTGTCATTATGGGGTATTGTGTGTAGTTTGATGAGGAAATGTTTTTATTTAATCCATTTTAGAATAAGGCTGTAACGTATCAAAATGTGGAAAAGGGGAAGTGGTCTGAATACTTTCCGAATCCACTGTATATCATTAATTTATAAGTCCACAAATGGATTTAGCAACTAAGGATTCTAGCTTTAAGGAAGGGGTTCAGTAGACGTTAACCAGACTGACCCTGAAGCCAAATGCGAATGTCATCTCATATTTGACTTTGCTCTGTGGTATGTTGTGGTCTCTCCTGCAGGGGAGGGGCATGTCCAGGCTTTGTGTGGTGTGTGGGGGCTCCAGGGGCATTGGCAGGGCTGTATCAAGGCTGCTGGCAGAGAGAGGCTGCAGGGTTGCTGTGGTGTCCAGGAACCAGGATGCTGCTAATGCCACTGTGTTGTCCCTCGCTGGAGGTACAGTATTATACCTGCAGGGGTGTCATGCACCTCTTAGTTGGGCTCTGCTGTTCACATTTTCCAAATGTTTCCCAAACAAGGGGTTGTGACCGCATGTGGGGTTGCCTAATTTGAAATTGTGTCGCAAGATAATTGGGCCGCTAGATGCGGTTGTAATAAACAGAGCGGTTTCTGTTTTCTTCCTACAAATGTGTTACTATCTTTTGATCCATTTAAGCTACAAAATATAGTGACCCCATCACTGAAAGATAAGACTCTCAGGAACACAGAGAGGACAGGACCAGGCATTCAATCAGACTGGGGGGACAATAACATCAATGTTGATGTTCTTTCCTACACAGAAGCTCATACAAAATTATTGACTGATGATCTTCTGAACTTCCGTCACTTCTGTCACTTCAAACCATACTTCCTTCAGATTTAAATGCTGTGAAAAGTACTGTCAGACTGATTTGTAATAGACTGTCATAGCCCCAAATAAAAAAGTAAACATTGGCTGTTTATTACATAACTTATTTTTACATGGTGGAGTGGGGTTGCACATTTTTTAAATATCAAAATGGGGTCACGGGACAAAAAAGTTTGGGAACCCCTATTCTAACCAGATGATTAGGCTAGTGCCACATTGACTTCTGTTGTTTATTAGGCCTAAAGTTGTAGTTTTCTGCTTACCTTATGTTTAACCAATCTCTAATTTTCTAGCTGACCATATGGCCTTTAGGTGTGACGTCTCCAAAGGAGAGGAAGTTCAGAAGACATTTGAGATGATCCAGAAGACCTGTGGAAACATCTCATACCTGGTCAATGCAGCTGGTATCAACAGGTGTGTGCGTGTGAAATACTTGTGCATGAATCAGTACTCATACAGGTTAGTTTCATACCTTCAGAACTCCCATGATAGTCCTAAGCAGGTGAGCTTGCATGTGTTTGAAAAATAATTAATCCATCTGCTGTGTGTGTGTGTGCACCTTCCTGTCTTTGTGTGTGTGTTCAGGGATGGTCTGTTGCTGAGGACCAGGCCAGAGGACATGGTGGCTCTGCTTCATACCAACCTACTGGGGAGCATGTTGACCTGCAAGGCAGCGCTACGGAGCATGCTCCACACCCAGGGAGGGGCCATTGTCAACATAGGTACTGTTACTGTATGTCCAGCCCCTTCACACTACTGAGGTACTAACCTAACATAGCAGGCGTAGAAGAAACGCCTGAGTGGAGTTCCCACATCCGGTTTTCAGCGGAAAAGGAAGCTAGGTTGAATTAGCTGTATCCCTGAAAACCGGATACATCTGGTTATTGGTAACTCTGCTAAGGGTGCTGAGATACCAGATGGATTCAATGTTGCCGTTTGGCCACAAGGTGGTGGTTGTGGTCCAGGGAATAAACATAATCTCACTTCACTTTACCTTGAAATAGCCCAATCGCTGTGTTCATGGTTGTGATCTGTGTGTACTGCAGGCTCTGTGGTGGGGTTGAAGGGGAACGCAGGTCAGTGTGTGTACAGCGCCAGTAAAGCAGGTCTGGAGGGCTTCACTCGCTCCCTGGCCAAGGAGGTGGCCTCACGCAGTGTCAGAGTTAACCTGCTGGCTCCAGGTATAGAACTGTCTCTTCCTCCTTTCTTTACTGCTCCTCTCTCTCTTTCATCTGCTGTCTGCTTATTCTCCTCAACTTCTCTCAACTCATGTCTTGTCCTAGCCTTTGTCTTCCTGTTTATGCTTCAGCCATCTCCTTCGTCATTATCATGCTAAAATAGAAACAGACTTGTACTGTACCCAGGATACTGGTTTCCACTGTCCTCTCAGCTCGAATTCAGTTTTATCCTGATGCTGTCCCTCCCTTAACTTTTCTCCTCTAGGTTTAATTCGGACAGACATGACAGTGGGGCTGAGAGAAGGGGAGGGGGTGCGGACCATCCCCCTGGGGAGGTTTGGGGAGCCTGAGGAGGTGGCCAAGGCTGCTCTTTTCCTCCTGGAGTCTCCCTACATCACAGGACAGGTGCTGGTGGTGGACGGAGGGCTGCAGCTGGCCATGTAGGGAGGCCCTCGACCCCTCTGTATACACCTAGTACCCACTATACATCCTAACACTGTCAGCTGGGTGGTTAAGAGACTCTCAGCCTGTCTCTCGGATGTGAATTACAATGGAGAGTTCTGGTTTTCCAGTATATGTGTGTTTAAGCTAAAGATGAGCTGGGTTCATGCATAGGAAAGGGATAAATATCTGCTTTTTATCTATACTGAACAAAAATATAAACGCAACATGTAAAGTGTTTGTCCCATGTTTCACGAGCTGAGATCCCAGAAATGTTCCATATGCACAAAAATCGTATTTCTCTCACATTTTGTTCACAAATTAGTTTACATCTCTGTTAGTGAGCATTTCTCCTTTGCCAAGATAATCCATCCACCTGACAGGTGTGGCATATCAAGAAGCTGATTAAACAGCAGGATCATTACACAGTTGCACCTTGTGCTGGGGACAATAATAGGTCACTCTAAAATGTGCAGTTTTGTCACACAACGCAATGCCACAGATGTCTCATGTTTTGAGGGAGTGTGCAATTGGCATGCTGATTGTAGGAATGTTCACCAGAGCTGTTACCATAGAATTGAATGTTCATTTCTCTATCATAAGCCGCCTCCAACGTCGTTTTAAAGAATTTGTTGTGTGGGCAAGCGGTTTGCTGTTGTGAACAGAGTGGCCCATGGTGGCGGTGGGGTTATGTTATGGGCAGGCATAAGCTACAGACAATGAACACAATTGCAATATGAATGCACAAAAATACCGTGACGAGATCCTGAGGCCCATTTTTTAAAAAGTTATCTGTGACCAACAGATGCATATCTGTATTCCCAGTCATGTGAAATCCATAGATTAGGGCCTAATGAATTTATTTAAATTGACCGATTTCCTCATATGAACTGTAACTGAGTAAAACCTTTGAAATTGTTGCATGTTGCATTTATATTTTTGTTCAGTATACATGAGCTCATGTCTTGGCAGCTGATTTTGAAGTGTACCTTTTGTCTGATTCACTCACCTTCGAATGTGAGGCAATGCACTACATGTATTGATTGGCTGTATTGGCTTTGTAAGCTCTGTGGGCTTGACCTTGTAATAGTCAGAGCCATAGATATGTATACGTGTGTATGGTTCAGGTAATACTGTTGTCCCTATCTGTACACAGTGCCGAGTCACAGGGTACTGCTCCACATAGCTCAGAGGGGGTGTGTCTTTATGTGAGTGACAGTTTTTCATGACTAACACTACTGACTCCACTGTGTCTGACTCAGTCTGGCCCTTCACGCTCCTGAGGCCTTAACTTTGATCAGCAGATTGAAAGCTATTACTCTTTCCATGACTTAGAGGCAGCTAATGCTGACCAAAGCTCTCATGTTTCACTCTCCCACTCCCCTGGGGGACCGCGACACAGCGCAGGCCCCCACCACCGCCCCCCTGAGCCCTGGAGGGGCCCAGAGAAGGGGTATGGACGGGGTCTGACTGCCTGCCTAGTGCCTACAGCTGGAGGGGATTAGGGGGGTGGGAGGATATTTTTAGCCCATGGAATGTTTTGAGGGTCCAGTTACAGCTCAGGACCGGTGGTGCAAATGGATGGGGTCAGTGACTGTCATGCTCAGTGTGGAGATTTGAAATGCTGTGATCTCATCTGTTATTTCCTCCAGTGGAGAGACATTGCACCTCACTGGAGTGTGGTGCCCAGTTTCCTCACACACACAGCGCCAGGATGCTCAACAGTCACATATATTTACATGTCATTAGAAGCCTTCATGAATCTGGTGCATCTGCGCTCAGCTGCTGTCTCATGTGAACTGTAATAATGGTGATATTATTTTACCTAAGATCAGGTGGGAGACAATGTAAACCAGGGATCAAGGTAAAAATCTGATAAGAATTCTCAATAAAGAATGGCATTTCCCCTGTGATGGATAATATGACTGCTGAGTACATTTTTGTATGGAATTGATTTGAGCAGAGTCTCCTACTGTCTCCTCACTCAACATAAACACGGTACCTCTAGAGACTTTGATTTTTTATTATCTTTCATAAACTAACATAATATCAGGAGAACATTCCATATACAGGCATAGAAATCAAAAAGGTGTCCTATAGGTTTGTGTGAGTGATCACAGTAATCGCAGGATGAAACATGCTCTGAACAGATACAGCAAAAGATGCGTATTTGGTAACGCAGTAGTGAGAGAAAATATATAATTACTTATTTCAATACAATTCTGTGCATATCTTTTCCCTTAACAGCTTCGCTATAATTGTCAAAAATAATAGTCATTTGGTATAAGTGCCTCATAAAAACATGGACAGATATTGTGATTGAAATAGGCCCAAGTGATCTTTTAAGGCAATATATATTGTTTCAAAAAGTATGATATTTTAATACAGACAGGATTATGTTTTGTCATTGAACATTTGAGAAACAAAATCACTAATATAATTTATATCAAGTTTCTTGGGAAAGTTCTCATACAAAAATAAAGCAGCCAATCAGTGGTGTGTGTGCTCTGTCCACTGAAGCCATTATTAGGACTGCCTGGCGTCTGTGTTGGGGATTTTAAACTTCAGAAATAAACCAAAGAAAATAAATGATCTCCAGAATCAGTCATAAACAAAATGTTAATCATCATCTTCATCATCATCAACATAGTCCATTTCTTCTTTAACATCTTTGTCATCTACAGTGAATTCTATTCCAAAAAACTTGCTTTTCTCTGTCCTTGACAACTTCCACTCACGGATCACACAGTTCACAAGCGTTGAAGTGACTGTTGTCACTGGGCTGAGACAGATAATCTGGGCCTCCTGGCCCAGGATAACCCCTCATCCTGTCCCCGTTACAGTCAACCTTCACACACCAGTACCTCCTAGCCAGTCATGGCCCTCTCTATCAATCAATCAATCAATCACTGAAGTTACCATGGTAACAGTGAGAGCTCTCAACGGTGTCCGAGTCATTCAGCCAACATTCTCTTTTTCACAACTAATCTAAAGTCACTAAACAGTTTGAAACTTTCAAGGTCATTTGAACTCTATGGTAATTGTGCTATATGTTGAACCTGACAATGCTGACATCTATGGTATTGTGCTATTAATAACTAAAACCAGACACTGTTGATATCCATGTTGTGCTATATTACCAAGACAATGCTGTGATAACATATAAAAGAAAAACATTGTGTTTTGCGGTCTCCTTCATCTCTCAACAGTACAGGGAAACATGACGTGCTGCTCCGATGCGTTGGACTTACCATACCTTTCCATTGCAGATCCATTGCGTCCAAAGTCTGTCCCATTTCAGCCTATCTCTGCCCCTACAATTTGGTGCCTTTGTTGGGGGAGTATTTCATAAGTAAGGCATCAATTTAGATAGAGCATTACAAATGGTGCCATTGTAACATGCATAATAACGCTACTTTCAACTTTAACTTTAAACCTTCAAATATCATTTTTACAAAGAGTTCATGTGAGATATCTTAGGCACTTAAGAGGTGATCCCCTTGTGTGGTTATGGCAGTGTTACTTTCAGGACTAATTTACCAACATTCAAGACTTCTTCAGTTCCACCACCCATTATCAGAAATTTGTGAACAATATTTTTTTCATGGACCACAGAGTTGCAAACAAACTTCAATGGCCACCCAGGGTAGATTCCTCTGCTTATGTGGTTGATAAAATGGAACCATCTGATCCTAAGTTGGGATCCATGTTTCATTGACACTGAGATATTATAGGGTGTCACATTGTCCGTCATCCATCTTCCATAATAGTATCTGTGGTATTGTCGTAAAACACCTCGGATGGAGGGGGTTACATTTACCCCTATATGTCTGGGGAGAACGGGGGCTGGGCCTTGTAGCACTGGGGTCAGTTTTAAGGCATTAGGGGGTTGAGTGGGGTGTGTGAACCCCGCTGGTCTCTACAGGTCATCACTCTCCACCAGGCCTCCTGGCTGCAGGGGGCTGGAGTCAGGGAAGAAGGCTGCCTTCACGTCCAGTCCTCTCTCTGTCAGTGCTGCGTAGCGACTCGTAGACGGACGCACCTTCTTAGGCTTGGGAGTGTTGGGCTGCTGCCACTGAGCTGAGGATGGGACAGAGGGGGAAGAGATGAGTACAGAGACAATAACAGTGATTTTGCCTTTTACATTTGGTCCTGTGTGTTTAGAGGGTAAATAATATTCAGTTGGTTTGTGTGGACACAGAGAAAGACATTTGTGTCTGGGGGACTTACTGTGGACGTCGAGTCGTGCGGTGCTGGACACGATGCCAGCGTCATTTTTGGCCGACACGGTGTACCAGCCAGCATCCTCCTTCATGGCCGGCTGGATGATCATACACAGGTAGCCACAGTTGTCCTGGTGCATGCTGGGAAACAGAGTTCAACACACTCCCTTAGGACCAAGTTTCACTGACTGTTGTCAGATCATCAATATCTTTATCATTTGCAGGTCCAGTTTAAGAGGCTGCTTACCAATAATATTGCTACACTACTTAATTTGATTGTTATTGGATTTACGTAATACAAGCCATAGACGGTGAATGGTAGAGCTGGCTTACCTGATCCTGTCTGTGTTGTGAGTGAAAGACTCGTTCTCTTTCTTCCAGAAGATTTGTGGGTAGGGAACAGCCGACACACGGCACTCCAGACGTACAGGGTTACCCTCGGCAACGGCAGTGTTCTGTAGCTTCTCGATGAACGAAGGAGCCTTGTGAATCTCTTTGGCTGGAGACAAGAGAGAGACCACAGGTCAGGCAATAGTATATCAAACTATTGTATTTTTTTATTTTATTTAACTAGGCAAGTCAGTTAAGAACAAATTCTTATTTACAATGACGGCCTACACCGGCCAAACCGGGACGACGCTGGGCCAATTGTGCGCCGCCCTATGGGACTCCCAATCACGGCCGGTTGTGATACAGCCTGGAATCGAACCAGGGGGACTGTAGTGACGCCTCAAACACTGAGATGCAGTGCCTTAGACCGCTGTGCCACTCGCGTATTGTGTTAAGTACTACATTATTTGCATCAACAACTAAAAATAGACAAAGGGCCCTTATATCTAAAAATACATTAAAATATTATGGGCAGTGCTTGACTTGGGCAGGAGCTCACCGGAACTGAGTACCGGCACCTCAAATGTTCTACTGCTTGAGCTACTGTTCCTCTTATAGAATAGTAGTTCAGAAGTATTGTGGAGCTCCTGTACTTAAATATAAACAGTACCGGCACCCAAAATGAGTACTGGAACCTATTTCAGTCCAAGTCAAGCACTGATTATGGTTAATTTCCTGTGACAATGTTGTTAATCTGTCTATGCTTATACATCTATGTACTGTATGGGTGTCTACCTGCGACAATGAGTTCCATGTTGAAGGAGTTCTGTCCGGCGCGGTTGCTAGCGATGCAGGTGTAGATGCCTGCATCGCGGCTGGACACAGGCTCGATGACCAATGAGTGGACGCCATTCTCCCGCACTAGCATCTTGTGGGCGGAGTCAGGACGGATGGTCTGACCATTCAACTGCCAGATCAGGTCTGGTGTGGGCAAGCCACTGACCTAGAGGGGGAACACAACAAACACTCAATAACTCATTCATCACATTGTGTTATTTATACAGTGATGTGATGATTTTAATCACTCTATCTGCAGTGTATATGTGCTGGTAAATATTTGCATTGTGAGTACAGTATTATGGTGTGACTCTGTCTGCAGTGAGAGCAGCAATGTTTTATTGTTGTTTGTCTGGAGTCTCCCAGTCGCCTGCATGTTTTCTCATGGGAACTGCCTGGCCTGTTAAAGGACCTGTCTCTCTTTTCAGCACCGCTGCACGCCTGATGAAACCCCACACCTGCCCCTCCCTCAGGTCTGACCGGTAGAGCCCACCTGTGTGTGTGCATGAGTACGCACGCTTGTGTGTGTGTGTGTGTGTGTCTGTGCGTGTGTGCATGTGTATCCGGCCTTGACTGTATTGAGTGCTGGAAGTAGAATTGAGTAATATTTGGTTGAACAACATGGTTCAGCCTGACTGCAGTACACTTCCTGTAGTTGAGACATTATTGGCATGGAAAGTTTGGAAACCCACAAACGATTTGGAAATAAATATTGCTTATAAATATCATTGACATTAAGAGCCCCAAGACATTGGAGACTCACTATGTTTATTTTTTGACAAGTATAAAAAGAGAGTCTTGTTATAGCGTGTGAAATCCGTGTATGGTACTGTTTGGTTTTATTACAGTTTTGTAACATAGTTTTCTAACTGTTTCTGACAAACGCTGGCTGCATAGGGAGGATTAGTGACCAAGAGAGAAAAGGGAAGGAGAGTGTGGAGAGAGAAATAATCGTTGAGAGAGTGATCCTAGGAAAATGACACCAGCATTTCTCCTCCTCTCGCGCTCTGAGTCATTCATCATGAAAGAGGAGATTAAATATATAGCCCCCAGTTATTTCTTCCCCAGAATATGGAATGAATGGGGAGGACACCTTTCTCAGCCCCACAGACACTCCTCATCACTGACACACACAGAATTAGAGGGTGGATCTGCTTTCCTCCATTTTCTATGATTTACTATTTGCTGAACACCAGGGTTAATTTTAGAAAGTTGGAATGTTCCTTTTATGAATTCTTAGAACCCGCACTGCTTCCAGTAATTAAAAACCTCACAGTCCTCCATAAACAACAGACCTATAATGGTAGAATCCTAAAGGTGTGGCTGTAAGTTGAAGAGGTCAAGGAGGGGTGGGTTCATTGTTAAGGGGGCGTGGTCTCACCTTGCAGTCCATCCGGCAGAGCCTGCCCTCTTGAACGATGAGATCACCGGGCGCCTGCAGGAAGTGGGGGCGGAAGTGACGCTCCTGGATGTTCTCGTTCTCATCACCACTGTCTCTGGACCGAGACCTAGGTCTAAGAGAGGGAGGGAGGGGGAGAGGGAGGCAGAGCAAGAGATTTACTCCTAACAGAACCCAGTGCTTCCACTACCAGCTCCCACTCTATGGTGGATCATGACCCCAGGCGTTCCCTGTCCTCCTGCACTATCACAACAATGACATCACCATCCCTCCACACAGCGTAAATACACCCAAGCTGTGCAGAGCGGAGCGAGGGAAGAGAGAGGGTAAGAAGGAGAGAGATAAAGAGAGAGGGAGGTACGGATGGATATCTTTAAACGCTTCACTCAGATATATGAAGGCCTTATCTGGGAGTGTACAGATCAGGTTACTGTAATGCGTGTGTGTGTGTGCGTTCCTTTGTTTGTGTGTGGGAGTATTATTATACGTGGGACAGGTATTATACAGAACAAATATTACACCTATCAATCTAAGAGCAGAACCAACAAGTGTTTCCGCCCTCTCACACTACACTATTCAACTCATATAAAAATGTCAGCAACATTTTTTTTTTATTTAACACACACTAATATCAACAATAATGTACATAACTATTTTAAAAGGTAAATCATGGTAGCTTGGAATTGATATTCGTACACCTGGTATCATTGTAAATATCATTGTGAATATGAACGTTTAGTCAATAATGTTGCTTGACCGGTGGTTACCCAGCTAACAAGGAACATAACTGAGACATTTGTAACATTCCCCTTAATTCTTCCAGAGGTACTGAATGTCATAGCCCGTTTGGGACATTATAGGCACATTCATAACATTTCTAATAAGTATTATAGAGGTTATAAATATCAGGTCGCTATACAGACATCATGGGAACATTAAAAATGTTCCTTGGTAGTCCATGAAAGGTTCTGAATATTATGTTACTTTTGAGATATCCTAGGAACATTTCATAATGTTACATTTAGAGCTATGGTTTGTCTTCATATAACGTTACAATCTGAATGATAGAAATACATTTTGGAACATCGTCTGTAAGTTTCACAATAACGTTATCATGACTTATGTGGGGACTAAAATAACTTTGTGGTCACGTCCTGGAACGTAATTTTGTTAGCTGGGTAGGTTGGCCAAAAGTAGGCTACATGAAAAGTGCAATACTGGTAATATAATGTGTGTTAATGTGAGTTTTCTGTGAATTTATGTAAATCACAACGCTCATCTGCAATTCTCATAAACAAAAGAGTGATCAAATTAAGATGCTACACCTGTAAGCAAAGCATATGAATAATTGCCAACAGCGTTTGTCTGTCCTCTCCTTCTGTGTCAGGTATTGTGTTCTTCCTGTACCTGCGAATATGTCCAGGTGTAGAGCGCTGGCTCCTCCCTCTCTGGTTCACTGCCTGGACCATCATCCTGCCAGTACAGCTCACCCTCCCCTGAGGGAGAGAGAGAGAGAGATGTTTGTTCGACGTTTATGACTGTTCATACTCAAACTCAACTAAAACCCACGTCAGGGAGGAAGTACAATGTGTTAAAGTTGGCCAGGCTGTTAGAAAGGCAACAGTACATGAACTCTCGACCCTCATGAAGGCTTTAGTGATTTCCTGTCTCACTCAACGCCTGCTTCCCCTTGCTGGCTGGAGACCCTTATCTTCTCCATGGCTATTATTCTCTAGAACTAATGACCGCTAACAGCCCCAGCACCACTGGCTGCCAAACGGCTTGGTCCTGATAATGTGTGTGTATGCGTGTCCATAGATACAGTATGTGTATGTCCCTTGTGTACAGTAGTTTGGTGTGAAACGACTTGGTGTGGAAGTCTGTGCAGAGTTTTCTATATTGGGTGTGAATCAGTTAGGTCCTGTGTGTGTGTGTTGGGTGGGTCAGGTGTTCTCACCTCAGGGTTACCAGCCATGATGGTGTAGTTTCCGTCATCGTCCAATGAGGTGGCGGCAGTGTGCAGGTTGCAGGTTCCGTCAGCGTCGCGGCTGATCCTGTAGTGTTCACTCCTCTTAGAGATCTGCTTCCCATCCTTAAACCAGTAGATCTATAGGGGACAGGATATACACAACACAGAGTTACACAATGATCTGCTTCCCATCCTTAAACCAGTAGATCTATAGGGGACAGGATATACACAACACAGAGTTACACAATGATCTGCTTCCCATCCTTAAACCAGTAGATCTATAGGGGAAAGGATAGACACAATTACCTATAGAAGTGGATAGGAGTAGGGAGGGAAGGGGGGTATATTATTATATTATAAACTGGGTGGTTCAAGCCCTGAATGCTGATTGGCTGAAAGCTGTGGTATATCAGACCGTATACCACAGGTATGACAAAACATTTATTTTGACTGCTCTTATTACGTTGGTAACCAGTTTATATAGTAATATCAATAAGGCACCTCAGGGGTGTGTGATATATTGCCAATATACCACAGCTAAGGGCTGTATCTAGGCACTCTGCGTTGCGTCGTACATAAGAACAGCCCTTAGCCGTGGTATATTGGCCATATACCACATCCATTATTGCTTAATTATATCATATTATACTGTACTCCCCCTCCCTCCCTCCATCCCTCCCTCCCTCCCTCCTTTATCTTTTCCATTCATCTGATGCCTGTCATCAACCAGTCATTACAGAGGCCCTCTGATGCTACCAGCAGTGGTGGACTCACAGATGTTAGCACGGCAGGCCTCGCCCTTATAACATACTGTACATGTACCTCAAACTCCTACTAACAACACCACACATCATCAACTCCCAATTATCACAACAATATGGCAGTACATTAAATAGGTTCAGCATACAACAATACACTAGAACTAACTAGCGTAGCAGTGATAATATTGACATTAAATACAAGAAAAAATGTTAGAATACGGTGTCCTGGTATGCGAGTCTAACGATGAATGATTCCGCTATATTTCCACATGATCACTCTGATCTGTGTGACCTCTGACCTTTGGCTTGGGGTCTCCGATGACCTTGCAGGAGAAAGTGACGGGCATGCCCTCAAACACCTTGTAGTGTTTGAGCTTGCTGTGGAAGAATGGCACCACCCCCTGGCCTGTAGTATCTTCACCATGCTGCACATCATCATCAGACTCCTCCACTGGAGAGCGCTCCAGACGGAACTCGATCTCACTGATCAGGCGCTGCTCGAAGCTGGACACCTTGTACTCCTGCAGAGCACACAGAGAGGGAGCAGGGTTAACGCTGCGAGATGGAGTTCAAGGAGCATCACTATTACAGGAAGAGCCTGAAATCACAGAGGAACGGGGTCACAGAAAAATCTGATGAACAAGAAGCACACTCCATCAAGAACATTCTGTGTCACTCATGCATGCATTCATTGATTTTTTCATTCATTCAAGCACAATGTGTTACAGAAAACCAAGATGATCCTTTTCCCGTCAGCTCGCCTTTACCCAGTTTCTTCCTATTCCCTATCAACTCTCTATTCCTCCCCCGTTTTCTGTCTTCCTCTCTCTCTCTCTTAATTCCTCCTTCTGTCTCCTTCAATCTCAATCTCTCACCATCCTGGCCCAGCCTGTTGAGGCAGAAGCAACATCTGCAGAGTAGTGTGTACTGACTGACTGACTGACTGACTGACTGATAATTACAGGCCTAAGACACAGCTGAAGGAGTATGACATCTCAAGGGGAGGCAAAGCTTTGGTAGTGGGAGGACTGGGGTCTGTTGCCAACGCTCACCAAAGTGTAAATCTCTTTCTCTGCCTCTCCCTCAATCCCTGTCTCCCCTCCTTCTCTCAAACGTTTCTCTCTCTCTTCCTCTCTCTCTCTCCCTCCCTTGAATTCTTGTTCTCTATGTTTCTCTCTGTTTCTCGTTCTCTCGCTAACGCACGTACACAAACAAGAGACAAGTATATAGGTCATGTGACACGTAACACAAACACAGCTATGGGTGACAGTGGACCATGTTCATTTTAGCATCTCATATCAGGGAGGTGTTGGAAACAAGCTCATGCAGGCGCCGATATCTGATTAACACATCAAAAGTGACCAATCAACACACAATCAATTAATTAACATATACATTAAAAGTAACGGACATGTACAGGGACAAAGCCTTGGCCATGCTTCTCATAAAATGTCAGTAATTGGGTCAGCTCTAACTGAGGGCAACTGTGATTGTCTGACACAGAAGACTACAGGTGGTCAAAAGATATGTAACCACCACAATGACCTTAACAGAATCATGAATGAACTTTTTTCATGAGCTTTTTGTCAAATGTATGTCTTTATCCTAATCAGTTTCCAGGTTCCCAATCCTGATCCTGTTACGGTCAAAGTGTGTGTGAGCACATCTAATATAATTATTATCAGTGTGGCTTTGTTGAATGCCTTAAGCATGAGGAGTGACCACACACAGTGAGTGAGAAAGAGAGAGGGAGAGAAGGAAAGAGATAAAGACGGGGGAGGAGAAGGAGAGAGAGAGGAAGAGGCTTGAATAACCTTTTGAGGGACTGATTCTATATCAGATGAACTGGAGTCCTGCGAAGAGATAAAATAACAGTGAGGTGTTGTCTCTGTGTTACTGTATGACGTCACGTCCTGAGATCCAACCACACACCAAGAGTGTGTGGGTGTGTATGTACTTACCAGCATTCATGACAAAGAGTGTGTAACATTGTAAGTCTTATACAATTTTCACATTTCCACAAAACACATATTTTCATCACATATCCTCTGAATTGGGACAGGCAAACTCATAGCCTCTCAGGCAGAGTAGCGCCCAGAGCCATGCAGAGCCAATCTCTATCAGACAGGGAACCAGGCTCAGTCCCATGGGCCTCCAGGCAGCCAGAGCCCAACATCACTACAGCACAGTAGCACAGAACAGCCCTGACTTCCACTAAAGACCACCGCCACTGTCTGCAGCTATGAGAGGACAAATTTGGCAGTGAGGCTTGACTTTAGTCAATACAACAACTATGTGTGTGTTCTGCACTGAGGTTTTGTGTTTTGGACATCTTTAATACTACATTTTGTATTAATCTGTGTATCTATAGCCTATATATCATCACAGTTCAATAGAGCTTTTTAATGTTTCTGAGGGGAACAAATAGCTACATAAAACTTCAAACAGTGTTATTTCCTACTGCGTTTGTATCAACACTGTAGAGTCTGCAAGTTTTAATAAACAGAGTGTTTTATAGAGGGTTCTGGAGGTAGTACTCTGTTTATATCAAAGCTTCATTGCATGCCTTAAATTAAAGTGTTTCCAGTGTAGCCGCAAAATAATATAGCCTTTTTCAATAATAAACATCACAGGCCAGCATTCAGATGAAAAATAGGCATAGCTCAGAAATACAGTAACCCTGCACACTGGCACAACTCTGAGTAAAGAGGTGTGACTGCCAAATATGTCTAATGTAGGTGAGTATGCCACACACATGCAATAATACAGAGGAACACAGAGGTGGTGACAGAGGTGGTGATCCTAGACAAGTATTTTGTGACTCTGTGAGTAGTGTGTGAGTGTGTACCTGTCCGGTCCAGGCCAAGTGTGTGTGTGTATACCTGTCCAGGTGTGTGTGTGTTCCTGGTATAGTTGCAGCAGCAGCGTACCTGTGTGACTGGCTCCTCGTCCTGCTGCTGTGTGTTTAGCACTGTGGCAGCGTTGTCTGCCCCCAGCAGCCTGCGAGCCATCTTCTCCTCATAGGTTAACCTCTGAAAGCACCGATTAATGGGTCAGCTGGAGTTAGTGTGTCAGTCGCAAGAGCAACACACACGCGTTACAAATATTAATAAGATACAGTCTTCCTGAGATAAATGCTTGTGAAATGGATGGATAATTTTTGTCCTCTCAAAGTCAAAAGGCTCTTTGGGACTCACTATAGTACTGGGCCTGTTCTAACATTTACATAAAAGCTTGTCTGTGAACATATCTGTGGCATAGCTATGCTATGTATTAATGGTTGGAAATGAAAAATGATTGATATTTGACATGATGGACCGCTTGTTAATAATATGTATTAATGAATGTTACAAAACACCTTAATTCCCAAGTTACCTACAAATACTCAGTCATCTACAGCGTTATGAAGGCACTCTGAAACACACACACACACACACACACACACACACACACACACACACACACCTGTTGTCCATTGCTCATGCGCTCCTCCTTAAATCGTAGCTTCCTCTCCAGGTCCTGAATGACAGCATCCTTGGTTCCCTGGATGTCAGAGTCTGAGGCCAGGCGTGGGGTTCCTCTAGACTGCTTCCGGGGAAAAGCACTGCTGACAGAACACAAAAACAGACGAAAGGGTTAGAACATGGGATCCCAGACCTTTACTCAATAGTGGCTGCTGTTTCTTTCTACAGTAGATCACATAGACACGATATTCAATATGTTGTTGGTGTGTGTGTTAGACTGACTGGGATTTATTTGAACCTGTGATTGAGACAGAATAAGCCACTTCTTTCTGTTTCTCATTCCCTTATCTGAACATGTCCAACTGCAGCCTTCTACACAGAGTCCTCTTATCTCTCTCCCCTGCTACAGGAATGCCAGGGTGAGGGAAAAACAGACAGAGGAGAGGGCTTGATGAAAAAGAGGGAGATGTGCAATGGCCTTAAAGGGGAAGGGGGAGAGCATGTTTGACAGTAGAGCAGAGTGGATGTTTTCTCCAGGAGGCCAGGCATCATCAAACGAACCAGATCTCTATCGGTTAAATATTCATAAACATGACCAAGCTCACTCTAGGTGCAAATATATGTTTATTTGACTTTGACACACCCTTCATTCTAAAGTCATTGTGTATATTTTCCAGATGATAGGGCAAAACATTCTTATCTAAATCACACATGTGAACACACACACACACACACACATTTACACACCTCAGGACACTGAGAGAGACGGTGCTCTTTGAGCTGAGGCTAAGTGTCTGTAAGAGCCCCTGGCTGTAAACATGCTGTATAAGAATTTAAACAGGTCATCTTCCATCTAGCAGCAGACCTCCAGCCTCCAGCTGCTGCCAAGCGGCAGGCTGTCCTGATGAGGATGGAGGGAGAGGGAGAGCCAGCCTGGCTCCACAGAGACAGACCTGCCGCAGGCTGTCACTCACTGACTGATATGCTACACTACCATTTGACTGGGGAATTAAATGGTCTGAAAGTATAGGGTACTGCCCCATGGAGAGCCAGTGTAGCTGTGTCTAGAGCCAGTGTAGCTGAGTAACATTGAGGATAGGATACTCACATAGTCCCGTTCCCTTTAGGCAGGCCCAGGGCGTTGACGGACGGGCTAGTGGGCGTGGCTGGCAGGACGGAGGCCAGGAAGCCAGCAGGTGATTGGGGCATGGAGGTGAAGGGGGAAGAGCTGTTGGAGTGGCTGGGGGAGAAGGGGGGAGTCGAGGAGATGAGTGGAGGAGGGGGTGGGGGGAAGTCTTGGCCGGGGCCTGATGGAGAGGACATGCTGCTGCTGAGGAAGGGAGGGGGTGGAGGAGGGAAGGAAGGAGAGGACGGGGACTGAGACCCGATGCTGCTGCCCTTAGTGAAGGGAGGCAGGGTGACCCTGGTGAAGGGTTTGTGTGAGGGGGGTGGGGAGAGGGGTGAGGGCAGGCTCGATCCAGAGGAGCCAGAGGACTGGGTGACATAGCCCCCCATAGGGCCTGTCCCCCCGGGGCTCTGGGCAGCGATGAACTGCTTGGGCCGGGCATAGTTGAAGGTGCTGGTCTGCATGGCGCTGCTCTCCAGCTCCTGGAAGGAGGGAGGAGGGGGAAGAGGAGGAGAGGGCGGAGAGGACACTTCCTGGGGCTGCTGCAGCGGAAGTGGGACTTCCTGCTCTTGCTCCTGCTGCTGGATCCAATTGGCTGCTTCTTGCTGTTCCAATATAATCTGATCCTGCAGCTGCTTCAACTGTTCTGCGTTCCTAAAAGGAAAGGGGATACATAGGCATCATCAGTAACATGACTACTGGACAGTGGGGTCACATTGAATGATCATGCCAAACAGTCAAAAAACACTGTTGCAGAAAAAAACTGGACAGAGTTTTCTAAAGTTTGTCAGCTAAATGAAAGCAGGAGCACACACCAGTAGATCAGAAGCATTCCGTACAGTAAAGGCCTTTTTTCGAACCAATGGAATCCATACAGTAAAGGCCTAGACTCCATACTATGTATCCACATATTTTGTGTCAGGGTCAGTATAAATGCCCAGAGAGCCTAACAGCAGTGGGTTTCCTCCCCCAGGTCACCAATCAGCACATAGCACACATACCCCTCTAACACTCAACATCCTCTCAACACCACTAGAACGCTGGAGGGGATGAGATAACGCTGCGAAGGTTACAGGCATGTTGTAAAAATGTTACAAAAGCATGCGGCTGTAATCCATTTCACCTTAACTAACACAATACCCTATTCCCCATCTCTCACTCTCCAGTTACACAAAAATGGTTGACAAATTAAAGAGATGATTGTGATTGTAAAAATGGCAATCACAGAGAATGAGACTCCCAGATGTGCCGAGACATTGCTCTAATGTTACAGATGCGTTGTGAGGATGTTACTGTGAGTGGTTGAAAACCACACACAGAGCTGTGGGGATGACTTCAGCACTCGGCCATCCAAGGGCCTCACTCAAGAATTACACTGTAGCTTTTTTCACCAGCCTGGAATTGATAGCCTGTCAGGCCTGAGGTGAGAGGGTTCAGAGGACCATGGGGCGTGGTTAATTCAGCTAGCCAACCTTGCCATAGTCCATGTATGTGTTTGTGTGTATGTGTGTGGTGTGTATGTGAAGCGCTGATTAGTGCTGTTCTGGGGAGGAAAACACTGCATATGGACTCTATCAGCCGCTCCAATAAAGACTTAAAAGGCCAGCCTGTCGACAGCCATGTCAAAAAGGGAGATTGACTGGAGTAAGAAACGCGAAAACGTTTTTACAACGTTGTCTTCCCTTATGACAAAAGGGTTGGCAGTCAACAGTGTGATGACCTCTACAGGGTCAAGGACAAGACTAGGCATGGTCATATAATACATGTGTAAATAACATTGTAATTAAATAATTGATTTCGGTACAGACATGAGAGATACATACCGAGACAACCTGTACTAGGGACATGGTGTGGCTTTGATCTCTTAACCCTCAACAGCTCAACTGGGCGGTTGAGCTACTTTTGACATCCAATTTTAAATGAAATTAAACATTTTATTTTGTTTGGCATATTTTAACATTTCAACCAATGCCATTTAGCATAGGACTCCTGTATTTTTTCAAACACACTTTCAAAGATGGTTGAAAACCAGGAAGTGAATGTTAGCAAAACTGTGAAATGTTGTTGACCTCTAAAACATAATTTTGGAATGATTAAATTATTTAAATATTGTTTTATAATTTTAGGAACTCTTGAAAAATATAGAGTTGCCCACTAAAGGAATGCAATTGAGTCAAAGCTAGTGATAATGGACAATGGAGAAATATTGTTGTGGGATTTTTCTGTCTGTGCAAATAGGAAAACATTTTGATATTCATATCAGTATTTACTGTCTGCCTGTTATCTTCAATATGTTTCACAATATTATTCAGTAGATTTATTTTTACAGGTATTGTGAGCATATAAACAGTAAACACATTAATTTACATATATTTGAATATTCATATTTTGACACACAAATGTATCATATTTTATTTATAATTGATATCAATTCTCATTTAACTAGGCCTGTCTTCCATTATAAGTAACTGAAGCAGACATAATGTTAATTAATTTATCATTTTTTTTATGATTTAAAAAGTGTAGGCAAATTCCAAGACAAAATGAGTTTACCCTAATTGGGCAACTCAACCAGCTGGTTGAGATGTCTGCGATGAGTTTTCAAGTCACGCAAAAAAAATAATATTCACGTCTTATTTTCAAAGGTGAATCCTAATGATGCAGTATTGTATTCCGTCATAGAGGTATGGCTGGCTGAGGATTTCACACACAGAGCCCTCCTACACTGTCGAATCACGTCTGGCCTGCTCTGGGATCAGTTGGCTGGGGGAACTAAGGCTCTCAGGAGGTTCCTGATCCTAGAGGGGGTGGATGACATGACTGTGGACTGGAATGAAGAACGGGGGCGAGTAAACTAGACACATCCTGTGTCCACTGCTTGCTTTGAATGTGTTCATTTATAATGAGGAAATATTTTATTTGCGTCTGGGGGCTTGTAACAGGAATGTACAGTGGGAACTCCAGGACACACATGAAATGGAAGAGTTATCTTCTCAGGGTAGCAGAAGGGGTCTTTGTGAAATCTATAAAACAAGTCTGTGACTGGTAGTGAGTCCATCAACCTGGGTAGAAGAGTCTAGCTACAGTTACATGCTTTGTCATCAGGACTTCACTGGGATGGAATTCTCCCAATCTGTTTTAGATGCTGAATAATCAGGAAATTGTTTCTGCTATTTTTCATTTCTGTCTGAGGTTCCAGGGGATAAGCCAACCATTCCCCAGCCTCCCTTCTCTCTCAAAAAATATGAAGAGCCCAACAAAGGTAATGAACATTTTACAGTAAAATGACAGGACAATGAAAACACCATGAGAATTACCATGATATTCCACATACTTTGTGATCAGTCACATGCTCCCCTCATTAGTAGCATAGCAACAGTGGAACTTCAGGCCCAAACAAACACTCATTATACTAATCTCTCCAACCTGTCATAACCTGTGTGATGGTGTAGACTATGGTACATTAAAAATAGCATATGAAATAGCAAAATGAAATAATGCAGTGTCTACTTTTCCCCATGTGTTTTTCTTAATATCCCAGCAATGTCGGACATCCAAGCCTCCACCAAAAGCGCACTTTTACAGGAATAGTTTGGCAGCTCCTGGCCTCCACTCCTCCGTGGCGCTTTCATTCCTTTTTTGGCTGCGTTCTCTCAGCGCGAGGCAGAATCTCCTCTCTTCGCCTCGCCCGCCCGTTCAAGCAGAGGGGAAACGCGCTTAATTTCCTCAGCACCTTGTCTTTCTCTCTCCTTCACTGCCAGCCTGCGTGTTTGAGTTGTGCATGAAAGGATTTGGAGAGCAAACCGTTTGCCCGAGTGCCTGCATTTTTTTATAACCCACCTGATCGTTTCCAGCCTGCCTAGAATATTTTACAGAATGCTAGGTGCCCAGTTTGAGTTTAAAAAATATATCTGAAAAGTTGTCTTGGTGTATTTACTCCTGCCTCTGGAATTGTTCTGAGTATGTTCGGGAGGCAGAGTGGATGTTGGCCAGCTGTGACTGACTGACATAATCGTATTGCCTTAAAAGGTGTTCTTTCTTTATATAGAACAGCTACTTCCAAACAAACATCGCCATTCATTACTCCCCAAAACAACTGATGCACCCCCCCCCCCCCCCCCCCCCTCCCTCTCTCTCTCTCTCTCTCTCTCTCTCTCTCTCTCTCTCTCTCTCTCTCTCTCTCTCTCTCTCCTCTCTCTCTCTCTCCCAGCATGGTCAATCAATTCCTCCTTTAGTGCAGTCCAATTCCCCTTGCTTATTTTACCAAAGGGCACTCACATGATTAAGATTAATTTGTCCCTCTCTCTGCATATGACTAACTTTCCAATTGTATTCTACGTTATGAAATCTGACATTTCAATTTAATTACCATTTTGTCAGATAGTATCATATTTTATATTCTGCAGCTCAAAAACAGCCCATAAACTTGAGATATGTTTATGGTTGTCAGTGAGAAGGTCAGACTGTGTACTATTGTAGCTGCATCAGTAGTTTTTTTGTCCCTGGTCTGTCTGCCTCCAGCACAAAAGGAGTGGGCCACCTTGGCTGACACTATGACCCTGACCAGACCAGCCTCCAGCCAGCTCTACCCAGCCAACATCCACTTACGAAATGACTCCAATAACTATTTCATCTCTCTCAATCAAGCTTTTTCTCTACTGATAATAGAACAGGGATGATCTATTAGTCTTGAATGAGCCAACAGACAAATCATTTGTCTTCATGGGATAATAAAGTATCACTTGACATGATTTAGTCACCAACTCTGGGAACAAATAGAGGAGCGTTCCGCCCAATCAACCCCTCTTAAAAATTGATTTAAAAGAGGTTCATTCTAGCATACAGCATTCTCTTATAGCCATACATCCTTTTAATTTACAGTACTTTCACGTCTCCACATAAATCTGAAAAAGGGCCTTTTCTTATAGCTGTTCAGAACAGCCTGTTCTATAGATGCCAGTCTGACTCTCTTGGAGACAAGAAACCAAACTGAAGGCCTACACCTACAGTATGTAGATCTTCTAAAAGGTTTGTGAACAGAGTTAGTGCTTGGTAAAAAAAAAAACAGTTTATCTCTCATGTGAGCAGCTAAAGAAATGACAGAAACTGATGAAAAGACTGGAGTTAATTCCTTTCTTTCTTCCATTCCTCTGAGAGTCTGTTCCTCTCTGTCTTGTGGTGCAGTGGGGCCTTGCAGGGAAGGAGAGAGGGAGCTGTCCTGCTCTCTGTCTCCATGCCAACGGCCCAGTGTTGTGCTGTACCGAGCTGAGCCAACTGGCCCATACAACTCCCAGTTCCAGTGTGAAAAAACTGCAGAGCTCTGCTCTGTCATTTCTAACTGTAACAGTACATTACTGTTAAATCTCTCTCTTTCTTTCTCCTCTCTCTTTCCCTCCATTTAGAGGTCTAAATAGACCAGGCTGTTAAATCTTCTTTCTCTCTCATCTTGAAGAATACTTTCAGTTGGCCTGGTTCCTGGTGTAAATTATTTAACATGGAACAACACAATGAAAGAGAACTAGAATAAACTTTTGATTGACTAACCATTCATCACATTACCTTTATAGTAAAACGTCAATTATAAAGGATTCTGGTGGTGCTTTTACTTTCCTGTTCCTACATGGAAACATTAGCAGCATCGCTGAGCTTAACGGGGTCAGGCACAGCTTGTCTGAGTGAAAATTAATTGAATCTGTCTTTTAGAACACCATGTAGCAAGCTAAAACAGACCATGTTGCAGCAGTCAGAGCAAGCTGAAACAGACCATGTTGTAGCAGTCAGAGCAAGCTGAAACAGGCCATGTTGTAGCAGTCAGAGCATGCTGAAACAGGCCATGTTGTAGCAGTCAGAGCAAGCTGAAACAGGCCATGTTGTAGCAGTCAGAGCAAGCTGAAACAGACCTTGTTGAAGCAGTTAGAAATACCAAGCTGAAACAGGCCATGTTGTAGCAGTCAGAGAAAGCTGAAACAGACCTTGTTGAAGCAGTTAGAAATACCAAGCTGAAACAGACCATGTTGTAGCAGTCAGAGCATGCTAAAACAGAAACAACCCATGCCAACGGTCAGCTACAGAGGGTTTCCAATCTGTGATCGCCACCGGCTGCCTCTCCTCAGTAGCCTCTAATCATACTGTCTTTAATCAATGCTCTCTCTAATCATACTGTCTTTAATCAATGCTCTCTCTAATCATACTGTCTTTAATCAATGCTCTCTCTAATCATACTGTCTTTAATCAATGCTCTCTCTAATCATACTGTCTTTAATCAATGCTCTCTCTAATCATACTGTCTTTAATCAATGCTCTCTCTAGTCATACTGTCTTTAATCAATGCTCTCTCTAATCATACTGTCTTTAATCAATGCTCTCTCTAATCATACTGTCTTTAATCAATGCTCTTTTTAATCATACTGTCTTTAATCAATGCTCTCTCTAATCATACTGTCTTTAATCAATGCTCTCTCTAATCATACTGTCTTTAAT